AAACATGTGGTTAACTCTAACTAAAACTAAACAATACTAAAACTAAACAATGCATAATGTCGCTTACCAGATCCAAACACTCGACGAGGAGGGGTAATTGTCGGACGTGTTGTCGGACTGGGACGTGTTGTCGGACTGGGGCGTGTTGTTGGACGTGTTGTAGGTGGTGCTGGTGTCGCTGAAGTGGAATAAAAACAAAGTACAATTACAAAAATATACTTATTGGCCATTACATACCCATGGAATGTAAAATAACCTTATTTTACAATCCATGACGTACCACAGCTACTGTATGCTATTGGTGGATTTTAGTAAGCGATCCACGTGGGAAGATTGTAGTCAACTTGAAGGAGACGCAAGAAAATTAAAGCGCATCTCTCCATTCTATTTAGGGCCTTTTCATATGGGCAGAAGTTATCCCGGTTAACGAGAAAACTTTTCGACTAGCGAAATACTTTAGTTCTGTTCATATGGAGAAACATTATCCCGCTTACCGGGAAAAGTTTTCGGCTGTGACGTAACACTGAACATCAATTGAATTGAAAAGTTGTTGACACGTCAGAAAGTTATCCCGCTAAGCGGGAAAGTTGTGTTCATATGGGAAAAACATTATCCCGGTCACCGAGATGTCGCCTGTCAACAAGCGAGATCTCGGTACATGTCACGGGAAAACTTTCGTCTCATATGAACGCAGTGTAACTTTTCATATTATTTTCATACGAAGGCGAGATCTGGCTTGTGAACTTGTCAAAAAGTTTTCTCGTTAACCGGGATAACTTTTGCCCATATGAACAGGCCCTTAGTTGCTTCCAACGTGATGGTTACTATGTGTAATGAAACGAATTAACATTATCTTCGCATTCTGCCGATTGTCAGTCGATTGAGAAGTCGACCAAATAATCGGCAAATATTGCTATTTGACATCGAATGATGCCAACCAAATTATGAAACTAATTGAACTATAAATGTATTCTCCTTACCAGCACCATTGCATTCGTAGTAGCGGTTGAGTTCTTGAGCATCTTTTGGCGATAATCCATCTCTTTGACCAAGTGGACCGCTGCCACGTTTCCGCAATATAGTTTTCAAACCTGGAAGATTAACACCGCGCAGGGTAAACACTTAGCTTATGAACTGATCTGATCCGGGCCGGGCCATCCTTTACTGATCCAGTACTAGTGTTACTACAACTAAAAGCGAAACTAAATCACTTACATTGGAAAGCTTATCAAATCTAAACTGCTCTCCAACATACCAGTAAAGACCACCCCGTATGGTTCTTATTGCTCCAGTGTTTAGTACATGAGAAAACCGTAGCACCTGGTGAAGTCGGACTGAAAGCATTCTTCTATTATACGGCTGAAACGCGATTATTCAATTCTGCAACTGTTCACTACATGCAGGAATCGACCAACTACCAGAAACCACTACAAACAACCACCAAACACCAACAACGACCACCAACTACCACCAACTACCACCAACTACCAGGAACAACCACAAACAACCATTAAACACCAACAACGACCATCAATAGGTAATGAGTAAAGGGCGCATTCATGAACTGCTGTTCCACCAATGTCCTAAACGAGAATGTGGATTCTTACTATAGATTTATACTCATATTCACCTACCACTTGTTACTGCAAACGCAGTTTCCCCGTAATGCATTACACTTTCGTAATCGTATGGAACACCCAAATCTTTCGTGTCACGTTCACTATGTTTCTCGAAGTTACGATTTCTCATACCTGGAAATATTTCAAAACTTAGTCCACAAGTAAAACGATTAAACTACATCATGGTGATGATGATGATAATAATGATGATAATAATAGTAATGATGATAATGATAATAATAATGACGATGTTGATGACGATGACGCGATGACGATGATAGTGACTCACCTCCTTGGATGTTTTGCCACAGGACAGTGATATACTCATCACGGTCAGGTCTACTTTGCTCGTGCCAAAATCCCAAAGCATGGAGCAGCTCATGGACAATAATTCCTTTATGGTTACAACCATTACCGATGGAAACATCTTGACTTTGGCTGAACTGGCTACTCACACCTCTTAGATATCCAACGTAGGAGTAACAACTATAAATCAAAATTCAACCATTGGTACCATAGGCTCATTAGCGTATTGAAGTTGTAACTTTAATACAACCTCGTTCCCAGGCTCTTTGCTCTTGGGAAGCAAAGACCCTGGTCGGAGCTGGTCACGTGACCCATTGAAAATTGATAGCCCAAGAGGGGGATGGAAAAGTCTCATATTACATGTTTCCACTTCCGCACTTCGATTGCAAGGAGTGGCCGTTCTGTACAATCATTATTACTAAAATCACTAAACTGGCCACATCCCGCTAAGATTTTCAAACGGGGAAAGACGTTTGATAAACGGGGAAAGACGTTTGATAATTCCAAATTCAATTTTCGTTCAGTCATGTGACCAAAATGATGAAGTCATG